GTGACATCCCTTCTTTATCTCACTGCCTTCCTGATTTTCCTGGTTATTCCCAAGCCTACTAAACGCTGAGCCAGTCACAAGTGGGTGCTCAAAGAGGCGGCCTGTCTAAATTGCAAACTGCAATTCTTGTAAAGAAATTAGACCAGAGAATGTAGACAGAGTGACAAATCAGACAGTAATGGCAGTGATGACAGCCTAGGTTCTCCAACATTTAGGTTCACTAAAGAATGATGAGAAATAACCATTGCTTTAGGTTGCAGGGTCTTTGATAAGTGTGTCATCTCATAGGGGCCGGGCGTGTGCCACATGCAATTTATATGGAAAGATCAAATTGTGCCTTAGTTAATAGAAAATGCAGTAAGCATAATGGTCACAGAGCTTGATTTTATTTTACTTAAGCATAGCTGCATTTTTAAAAAGCATCAGTAAGTTCAATGATTTTTTTTTAATCAAAGATACAAACACATTGTCATGGTCCAAAAATGATTCCAGTTTCTTTAGCAATCTTTTATAATAGGTTTTTCATATTATGGAATAATCGTCTTAAGTAATCACTCATATTCTTTCTTTCTATATAAATACTGTCAATTAGTTGGTCTAGTGAATTTTTGGGGAAAGGTATACATTAAAAAACAACCACCTATGGAATTATGTTAGTGGAAAGGGCTTGAGCAATATCAATTCTGCCCCCTTGCTACAGATGAGGAAGTGGGGGCAGGGGACAGCTTTCACTGGAACATGCAGCCCACTCCAGTGCCCTGCAGGGCAGCCGGCTGGGAGGATTGGGGGAGACGGAGTCAAACCCACACCTGCTGACTTGGTACCAAAATGCTGGAAAATGCTCCTACTGTGATTTCATTTTAAGGCTTCCATTTAAGAATGCTGATAACTAATACCAGTATGTTCTCTTTAAGTGAAAAAGAAAAGGAAAAATTTCCCCAAGTTTCATATAGAATATTTTGTAGATCAAATGTTAACATTGCCCCAAATCAGCAAACAGACCAGGGAACACAGATGTTTCTCTTCTTCTTTCTCAGCCATACATTGAGTGGCGCCATGAGAAACTTTCCAAAGGAACAAACAGCGCCTGCTCCTCATCTCAGTGCTGGTAATTGGCAAACGAGCATGGGTCTCACACAAAGGGCTGAAACACAGGTCGGGAGGTCAGGGTGCCAGGACAGGCTGGACGTGCACCAGGAGGAAGAAATGAGGGGTTCGGACTTTCGGCCTTAGACAAGCAGCCAAAATACACGCAGTGATTTGAAGTTGGTTGGGCTGGAAACACAGACGCAGCCTAGTAATAAAGAAATGCCCCTGACATGTAAAACACAAAGTGGGAACTGGGCCCTGTTTGCCAAACACGAACAAAAAGCAGGTGGGGACCTACATGCCGTTGTGCTTCCACAGAGATACGTTAAACAGCAGAGTCTGAAAACAGTTGCTGCTTAGCCTTTCAGTATGCCATTAATTATCTTTAAGTGTTAATGGCTATAGTGATGAACTCAAGAGTAGAAATGTATTAATTTTTAGGGATTGTTGTCATTTATGATTCTTTGACACTGAGCTTAACTGGAGTTGGCATCAGAAGCACACACCCAGGCCTTCTAACTAAGCCCAAACACTTCTGATTTTATGCTGAAAATATTTTTGAAATAGAAGGAATCCCTTTTCTCCTGCATTTTACTTTACAGTAACTCCTAAAAATGGCTGTAGAATCTTTGCTATTTTCTTCTCTTTTTAAAAATGAATCTACATCTGATTTAGTAATTTTATATTTGGTAAACCCTACTCTAGCCGTTTAACCTCTGAGGCTACAGAATGTGATGAAGTTGGCAGGCCAGCTTGCTTAGTGGTTAGTGCTATAGCCTTATTAAAAAAAAATTGCCCAGTGCTCCCCAGATAAAACTTCTGTGGTTGTTAGGTATCAGTAGTTATTAAAAATGTTTTTTAAAGAGAAAGGATTAAATATCATAGAATTCAGGAGCTACTATTTAAAGTTATGTCTTGTTAAATGCTATCTGTGATATAAAGCTTACTTTAAAATAAAGGACGTCTTCTTCCATCTGGAGTGAGCTGTGCTACAGTGTGAGCATATTCCCACACCTGTCCAGTCCTCTAATGTGATTTGATGCACATCTATTGTTCAAGTGACCTGAAAAGCCAGTATTTCTACCTAATGCCACTGACGGAAGGCAATCTGAGTGCAGTTGTCTTTGGACACTGCAGAGTCTCTAACAGGTAGGCATTTTCTACTGCAACTTCTTCCGTGGCAGAGGTAAAAAAAAAAAAAAAATCCACAATTAGGAGGATGCATTTTTATTTTGGGGGAAAAAAAAAAAAAAACAAGGGCTGGGATGAGACTCCGCGGTAGAGAGCTTGCCTTGCATGTGGGAGGCTCTGGGTTTCATCCCCAGCACTGGAAAAAAAAAAAAATCAAGACCAATCCAAACACTCTTAGTCACTGCTTATAACTCTAATGTGAACCCTCACTGACTTTCCTCTCCTTGCAGAAACACCACGGACATCCATCCATTAGATGCCCATCTGCAAATTCCACCTTTCCATTAGAAGAATCAAGGAACACAATTCAGAAATAATATTACATCCTGCATTTTATTCAGTTCCATATGACAAAAATAGTAACCTAGACTAAGACATCCATTTCAGTCAGTAGATGTGTCAAGCCACAAGATTTAATCATAAAAAATATTGCATTTAGGTAACAACCCTGCCGGCTCGGGGTGGCCCTCACCCCTCGTGGCACTCAGTATAAAAATAGTGTCTCTTCACCACGCAGAGGACACACCTGCCCCGGGGCAGCATAAGCTGATCTCACTGTACCTTCACGAACGATCTTATTTATAGCACTTTACATCTCTCTTAAGTTATATACACATCCTTTTGGGAGAAGAAAGGACACGGACATGGTACCAAATACCAACCCAAAAAAAAAAAAAATCACACCAAAAGGACACAGATAAATAACAAAACATTCAACTGCTGGAAGACAGCCATGTTAAGTCACCTCGGGCTTTTCTTCCCAACGCTGAAACACCCGTCACTCATCCCCGAGATGGTGACTCGGGGCGCCATGCCTCACCATGTGAGAAACAGTCGAGAGTCCAATGTTCCTTTCGGGAGAAACAAACAGCTAATGAGCCTTTGAAACTCTGCTCAGGGACAGGCCAGCGAGCAGCCACCCTCCAGGAGCACCTGGGGCTGCTGCTCTGGTCTCCTGCTTCATCTGAGAACACTGACACCCAACTCCACGCACTGTTACCCAGCTACCTACGGATGCAGCTCTCGAGTGGTTTTGTCGTTGGGCGTCCACGGGTCGTGTCCCAGCATGCTTCTGATGCACGAGAGTGAGGTAGTACGGACAGCACTGACGTTCAAGTTTTGATCTAGCCCTGCCTCCCAGCATCCCGGTTCCTTTCCTCACGAGGTGCAGCATCAGACAGTCACCAGGGAAAGGCTGGATTTTCAACCATCGGAGGACATTGTGCTTGGTTTGCAGTTCAGGGGATAATGACTCTGAAGATTTCAGTTATGCTCCATCACAGTGCCAGACACTTGCTACTTCTCTATGGTTTACTGGACATCATAGTCAGTGTCAAGAGGCAGTCAGTCACATCTGTGCGTCTGTCTGTCTCTGTGTGTGTGTGTGTGTGTGTGTGTGTGTGAAAGAGACAGGAAAGTTTCAGTGAAATCACACCTACACGACCCTGCACAATGTTCTCTCAGTTATTCCCTGGCTTGAGCTGATGTCACAGTCCTAAGATTCATTCATCAGTTTCATTAGGGCGGTCACAGTTTTTAAACAGGCTTTGCAGAGAAGTTAAATAACCCACGTTACCTTAAGAGACGGCGGGCCTTATTTTATTGAGGTGTGACAAGTCTCAGTGGCTTAGATTTCTCATGTTGTTTGACCTTAAGACAAAACAATTAAACCACAACAGGCTTGTGGTTTTCTTTTTATCATTTTCCTTAAACCGAAGTACTATTTATAAAATACTTTGTATCTTTTTAAATTTTCAAATTATAGACAAAACCTCCCTAATACAAAATACTAAAAGTGCAATCGTGTAAATTAAGAGTTTGCAACCACATTATACAAACATTACCTTTTTATTGTACAGTTTTGATAGTGTGAAATGTTTACTCATAACTGTTTATACTGTTGAGAAGTTTACGGTGATGTCTGTCTGTAACCTGTTCCCCATCGACCGCAGGGCTACAGACCACAATAGAGAACTGTTCACATAGCAGCTACAAACGTTTAAATAAAAAAAAGGGGGGGGCTTGTTACTGACAGGTACTTGCACGTGAAAAAGCATGCGATCTTTCCCAATGGAACATCACGATTCTGCCTGCATCAGAATAACCCACTTATTTATAGCAAAACAACTCTTGCTTTAAAAAAATCACATAGCCAGATGTATTCTGCAATACAAAAGCTTCATTTAGGGTTGGGGCTATTTTATCATCTGTTACCCGCATATTCTTAACATCATAAATACTACGGACAAAGATACTGTCGTAATACACAGCATTGGGAGCACTGAATCACTTCTTTAAGACGAACAGTTCCTAAGACATTGTTCAAGTTTCTACCTAATTCGAACAAAACTGTTAATGGGGTTCACTGGACTACCCCAGGAGACCCTGCTCTCCCTTGGAGGGGTGACTAGCTTTTAGGAGAAACAAAGCGGATATGGCCTGAGCTCTTTCGGTTCCTAAGGCGATTTTCCAAGCACTTCTGTTTTTGACTGGGATTTATTTAAAAGGTTGCAGAATTCTTAAGAACAGTCAAACCCACTGTTGAGGGAAGTACCAGGCAGCGCTTACCAGATGACCTTTTGGCAGCAGCACGATGAAAGTATTTTCTGCCAGGGGTAAAATTTTAATGAGAACCTAGGCATGAAGGGTCCAATGCCTGATGCAAACTGCGAAGTGTGGAGGTGGGGCAGAATGGACGGACCGAGTCTGGACGCGTGTGGCTAGTTTATGCCGATCTCCTTGTTATCCTCAATGAACCGCGTGAACGGACGGCTGGCTCCCGTCTCTGAGCTTGCTTTGTCCAAGGTGACAATGGGTGGGCTGCTGCTGGTGCGTGCTTTGTCCACCCCAGCAGTCACGGCACCCAGAGGGGGAATGGCACCTCCCCCTAGACTTACTGGGAGCGGGGGGATGCCTCCGTTCTGGATGACAGAAATCTCGTTGTTCTTCATAGCCAGCCCATTTGTGATGGCTGCGGCGTACTGGTTCCAAAAGCTGGGGTCAACATTCATGGCCCGAGCCGCCAGGTCCTTCTGGAACATTTCAGAGAACTTGAGGGCATCACCGCCAAGCAGGGCCATGGGGTTTTCAACAGACAGGCGGCGGCCACGCCTCGCAGGTGCATTATTCCACATGTGTGTCCCCATATGTACCTGTGGGAGACACAGAGAAACAAACCACAAGTAAGTGAGCCTGGAATCACGAGGCAGGAATGTCTTGCCTCCACCACTTCTCAAGGGCAGTTCCCTTCCTAAGCATTAGCTTGAGGACAAAAAGTATTACGTGCACTTTCCTGAGCACTTCACTTATGTGACATTTCATTCTGTGAATACAGCAAGCCTCACCAGCAAATAGGGCAATGAATGTGCTTTCTTCAGTTAATAAACCCAAAAGGCATTTCCCCAAGGTACAAATTCCATGGAGCTACCACAGAGTTCCAAAGATAAATAGCCTTGCTCATTGCATCGTCCACCCCTGTTCCCACCCCCACCTTTTTTTTTTTGGTGGTACTGGGGTTTGAACTCAGGGTCTTACACTTACTACCTGAGCCATGCCCCCAGTCCCAGAGGGACTGAGCTCTTTGACTGTGCCTCTCTTCTCTTGCTTTTTCTCAAATAAGGAAGCATTAATTTTAAAACACCCTGAGGTCATCTGTGGCAGAAGAGGTCCTCTTGGTAGCTCTTATCTTGCCAATGCTGGGCGCCGCCCAGAATAGTCCCTGGAGAGGCTGCTGGGACCCACACAGGTGGTCTTCCCAAACATGTGTTACAGAGCATGGAGCCTAGCACGTTTAGCTGAGGTCGCACAAAAGCACAGCCTGGAAGAGTCAGCGGCACCTTTCAACAGTCCATCTCCTGAGGAAGACGTATAGCACCGCTGTGGCATTCAGCAGAGACACACACAGCATCTGTTTCACTCCATGTGGACCCTCATGAGCTGGAAACCCTCTCACCCAGCGCCCTCCCATGCATGGGTCCCATCAGCAGCCACATGGACAACAGAAAGTTCCAGAAGTCACTGAGCAAGCCTCATCTTTGTATTATTTGATTATATATGAGTGGTTATGGTCAAGTTTTGTTTCTTATCAGATTCAAGAGCACTTTGGACCTGCTCACCAAGTTGCAAAGCGTGCATCGTCACCCTGGGCCCCAGGGCAGGTCCAGGCGGACATGCCCCCAGCGAGGGAGGCTGAGACTCCTCGTTCCTCTCACTGGTGCTTAACAGATGCATACCTTGTGAGAGCATGCAGTGAACACATATGCATGCCCATGCATGCTCACACGTTACTTGTCCACGTGCACACGTTCCATACACACTCCCACTACACATGCACTCAACCGCTCCACACCCACACATGGGAACAAGCATGCATCCTCCGAGGGCATGAACAGCGTCTGCCGTGCAGCCTCGGCAGGTGGTGCAGGGAGCTGTCCACAGGTGACCCTGTGCTGTGGCTGCCAGTCGGTGGCCCTCTTACCTTGAGGTTGCCCTTGGTGGTGAAGGCCCTGCCACAGATGGTGCAGCCGAAGGGCTTCTCCCCGGTGTGTGTGCGCTCGTGGATCTGCAGGGCACTGGCTGAGGAGAAGGTTTTCCCGCATGACTGGCAGTTATGCTGCTTGGGTGTCCGGCGCGGTGGGGGTGCCAGCATGGGTGCCAGGCCCGAGCTCATCACTGTCTGGGGCCCAGTGTGGACCTGGACCCCAGCCGGCAGGGGTGGGCCTTCGCCCAGTGCGATAGCCTTGCTGTGACCGTTCACTTCCATTTTGATCATGGTTGTTGCGGGGCTGGACACCAGGGTAGGAGTGCTGTGGCTGGGACCTAGAGTAAAGTTGGGGTCAAACACCTGAGAAGGCAGCTCTCTCAATTTGTGCGTCAGTAAGTGTTGTTTTAAATTACCCATAGTGGAACAGCCCCGCCTGCAGACCGTGCAGACAAACGGCCGTTCCTTGGTATGGCTGCGGTGGTGGATTTCCAACGCGCTCTTGCAAGCAAAGGGCTTGCCACAGACACCACACACAGTGCTTGTACACTTACCCCGCTCTCTGTTCAGGAACAGCAGGCTGAAGGGGGCCTCCTCCTTGATGACCGGCCGGCCGGGGTGGCCTGCAGTCAGGTCCAGGGCACCTCCGTTTCCTGGGCCGGGGGGTGGGCTGTCTGGCCTTTCAGTCTTTAGTGGGATCTCTTGTGGATCCTCCTGGTTACCTAGGCCTGGGGACTTGGAGCGGAAGCTCTCACCATTGCTATTGGCAGGTGACAGCGCCTGGGAGGACGAGGACTCGGACAGGGCAGGGCTGCCCGCACTTCTGCTCTCTAGGTCACCCACGGCAGAGGATGAGTCGTTGCTCAGGTGGTCACTTTCCCCAGATCCATTTTCCACAGACTTCAAGCTGGTCAGCTGCTGACAGTTCATGACCGAGTCAATCATTTTCATCTGATTCTCCAGAGCAGCAATGCTGGAGATGACAGAGGGGGGTGAGGGCGGGCAGGACCCCGAGTAGGACAGGAGCGGTTTAGACGAGTCGCTGGCTGTGTCCTTCAGCTCCGTGTCCTCCTCCATGGAGTTCTCGTCTATGTCATCATCATAGCTGCTCAGGTTTTCCACGTTCTTCTCGTCAAAGGGCAGCTCCGCATCCATGGCATCCTGGAAGCCGTCGGGTAGGGGCGTGTTGGGGATTTGGCCCCCCATGTGCATACGGATATGTTGCTGCAGGACCACGGCATTGGTGAACTTCTTCTGGCAGATGGGGCAGGAGTGCTGCACGCGCAGAGGGGGCTTTGCGCGGTGGACCCCGAAGTGCGTCTTCAGGTTGCCTTTGGTGGTGAAGGCGCGGCCACAGATCTTGCACTTGAAGGGCCTCTCCCCCGTGTGCGTCCTGTAATGCATCTTCAGGGCGCTCTGGCAGCTCAGCACCCGGTGGCAGATGACACACTGGTTTGGGTCGGTCATCTTCTTATCAATGTTCTCTACCAACTGCTGCAGTTTTGAGGTCTCTGATGTTTGCATAGAGTCAAGCAGTCCGCCGAAGGGGAACTGGGCCTTGAACTGGTCAGAGACCGCTGGAAGACCAGGGCTGCCCAGACTGGTGGAGGCGCTGTCCGTGATGGCAGTGGCCGCCGACGTGGGCAGTCCACCGACCTGCCCACCCACGACAGGAGCATCCCCTGTCCTTGCATTTGTGCAAGGCAGGCTGACAGGTTCGCTTTTAGCCAGAGAAGGCCCACTGAGGAGTGGCTGTGGGGACTCAGCTGTCACCGGGGCCCCAGACTCGTTGTTGAGGCCTGGGGACAAAGAGGTGCACTCGCTGGATGCCGGAGAGGGCCTCTGTGGGGAGCGGCTGACAGGGGTGATGCTGGGGGAGTCGGTGTAGCTGTGAGTGCCTGGGACTGTGGGGGGGAGCTGCAGCCCCACAGATGTGGACACTGTGGGCAACACTGGCTTGCTGTCCAGCCAGGTGGTCACTGGCTTCTCTGGGGGCAGTGACATGCCGTAGGGAATCCCCGAGCAGGTGGGCACATTGTCGAGGTACTCTGGGACCGGGTAAGGGTTCATCTGGATATGGGGGTACTTCTCCTTGTGCCGCTGGAAGTGCACCTTCAGGTTGCCTTTGGTGGAGAAGCGGTTCCCGCAGATGTTACACTTGAAGGGCCGCTCCCCCGTGTGCGAGCGCAGGTGGATCTGCAGTGCACTGTCGCTGCCAAACACCTTGGCACAGAACCTGCACTTGTGCTTGAAGAAGGGATCCTCGGCGCTGGTCTTGGGCTCGAACACCGACACGTTGGGGGGCTTTCCCTTGCGGTGCTTCATGAGGGCTGACAAGGGGTCCAGTGCGTTGGCGGTGGCGGCGATGCTGACCAGCGGGTTGGGGAAGATGACGCTGCTGGAGGAGGTCTGAGGTAGCAAAGGGTTTGGCAGGCTGGAGGCCGAGCTGAGGAGGGGCCCTGGTCCCAGGGCGGGGGTTGTGGATGCGTTCTGCGGCTGCGGAGCGCTGCCCGTCGCGCTGGACGCTGTGGCCACAGCCCCTGGAGCAGAGCCGGCGCTGGAGGCTGCCAGCGTCATGGACTCTGTGGCGCTGGCGCCGGGGCCACCAGGGGTGCTAGGGCCCGAGGACACTGGCTGCGGGAGCTGCTGGGGGCCCTCGAAGGCCGCCGACTGGGCGGCTGAGCCTGAGCCTGTGGGGACAGGGGTCGGCCCTGCCGAAAGCTGGAGGACCGGGTGCGGAGCCAGGCCCTGGAGCTGGCCGGAGGAGGATGGCCCCGGCGTACTGGGGGTGGCGGGATTCAGCGGGGGGCGCGCGGGCTGGCGGCTCATCAGGGCCACCTGGCTGCGGATCTGCTCGATGAGCTGGAGCTGGTGGATCTGCTGCTGTTGCAGGGCCACAAGCTGCTCCAGGATCATGGGGATGGCCACCGCGCCCACGCCGCCACCCGGCCCCGTAGCGCCCGCCGTGCGCGCGCCCTGTGAAAACTGCGCCACGGCCACCTTGGTGCTGAGCAAGGTCTCCAGGGTGACGTTGGTGCTGGGCATGCCGAAGGTGGCCACGGACTCGGGTGCAGTGGGCAGCGCAGCCGGCGCGGGCGCAACCGGGCCCTGCAGACCCTGGTCAGCCGGTGTCTCCACGTCCATGGGCTCGGCCTCCTTCTCGGGGGCCTTCACCTCGCTGCCCTCGCTGGCCTCTGCAGGCCCGGCCTCCTCGGCGGCCTCGCTCTCTGTGCGGTCACTGGGCGAGCTGGCCGGGGAAGGTTCCGGGAAGTCCTCGGCGGGTGGCGCGGGCTCATCCTCGTTCACGATCAGCACCAGCGGGTTCTTGGTGCAGCTCTTCTTGTGCTGCAGGAAGTCTGTCCACTTGAAGAACTCGGCACAGCACTTCTCGCACACACTGGTCTCCTCGCTGCTCCCGCTCCTGCTCTCGTTACCACTGTCTCCATCCTCTCCTGCGCCGTCCCCCGGGACGCCTAGGAAAGCAAGAGATTACATCAGCTGGCCTGCGCCACACAGCCGCCCTCCATCTCAAAATTTTGCACATGGGTAAAAATCGATATTTTTTATTTTGTACAAATTACCCCACTTCAACATTTCTGACGTCCCAGCGTGTGTGTTCTATGACTCTTTCTGGCTAGCTAATCATTTTCTTAGCACAATCCATCAAATTATGAGGCTCTATCAATTGTGGACATTGCGTCTTAATGAAATTCCATAGAAGCCATTGATTTCCAATACCTTCATACAATCCACAGCCACCCTGTCTGTTGGGTACAAAGCCAGCTTTCGATGAGCTCATTAGGGTTCTCCTTTACCGACGGGCTTCCTCGTTTCCAGCAAAATTAGAGATGCCTCTGCCAGTTCACTTAACATTGCTAAACTAATCTGTAACCTTTCCAGCACTCTAGCATCTGACAGGGGAGCTGCCCCTCGCGCTCTCTGGTGTGGTCTTGGCTACGTGGATTTATTGTCTTTATACAGTGCTGAGACAGAACAGATTTAATGTAATTTTATAGAACCTTTTGAATCAATAGGTATTTATTTCATGTAGGAGATTTCAGCAAAATGCTTTCATTTGTAACTGTAACCAAAGAAAATATAAGCACTTCTTACATTTTTGCTCAGAAAAAAACACCTCCCTGAACTGAGAGTTCGAGCACCCAGTGGTCAGCAGGGCATCTTTCTACCTGGCACTTCTCTTACAGAAGGCACCACAGTGTAGTCTGCAGGATCAATACCAGTATAGGCCAGGCCTAAAACGGATCATGTTCAAGGCAATTCATTGGCTCTGTCAGATGCAATATTTCTTGGCAAAATGAACTAAAATTACATGTTATTGTGATTAGCCAATAGAGTTCAGCGGTTTGTTAACAAACTAGAAATTATTTATTTAAAGTTCATTTATGGTGACATGTTTAACATGAGAAAGTTGCAGTCAGACACACTTTCTGTACCTATTTTCATCTATTCTCATAGAAAGACTTAGCAAATTATATGCTTGTGCCATAGTGGAAACCTCTAATTGGTTACACATGTTTAATTACTGTTGTAGGCAGCTACTTCCTCTGTCTCCCCTTACCCTCTTGTGCCGAATGACTGCCGTGTTTAATGAACAACTCTAATTCACACCTGATCAAATAAATAGCTGTACAGGAACGAGAAATCGACACCCAGTAACACTTCTGGCTCCCACTTTTGGGGCTGCTGGGGTGGAGAGTCATGCCCCATGGCTACCTGCGTGCTACAGACTCATAGCTGCTTTTTTTGTCAACTTGCAGATGGAGTGACAGCAACAAATCAGGTTGAACAGAGTGGATGACAGGGGCCAGTCAGCCCTTTGTGAAACATGCGAAGTTGAGTGAGAGAACAAAACACCCTCCAGTCAGTGTCCCGGAAACGATTTTCTGTTCTAACACTAACGCACAGATTGGCTTCAAAAAAAAAAAAGTCTCAATTTTTTTCTGTGACGGTTTTGAAAAAAGGAGTAATTCAGTCCTGAGTTCAGCAGAGAAACCTGATTTTTTTTTTAAATGTCCTGTAAAAAACCCATTGCTCCTCTCCTCGAAAACAAAATTTAAGAGAGGAAAAAAAATTTGAGGCTGGTCTGCTCGCCATGAGGTCATTATTTCCAGGTAATTTATACATGCCTTTAAAAAATTATTAGCAGCATTCAATTAGCATTTTCTTAACTGGCTAAGCCATTTGAAGAGAAAAAGAAGTCAGAGCCAGCAGCCCATAAAGCCTGTAGACTTTTAAACTAAATTCAGTGTAAAGATCAGGCTGCAGGAGAAGTCTCATTACAGAGAGGAGGAAGGAATGCAATAGGTGTCTGTAATGAGGTTGAGTAGCTAGAAGCAAAGACACAACTGATTTATACAGCAGATAGGAGCATTAATAAAACAAATATTCAGCTCAACTTTGTTCAATGTATGCAAAAACTAATTATAGACCTGCAGAGGTTATGGAACAGGGCAAAAAAAAATCTAAAATCTTTAGATAAATAATTTCTCAATGATTGAAAAACTACAGGCTATTTCAAGCTCTAGTGACCTATTTGAAAATCTTTCACAAAAATGCAAAGAACTGCTTTAAAATTTCTTTTTAAATTAATTGTGGAATGTTTAGACTTACATATTAAAAAACATTAAAAAAAAAAAGCTCGTCTTCACCAAGCAATGAAATATACACAGAGAAATAACCAAATAAGGGACACAGTTAAAAAAGTTGTTTTCCAATATTATAAAGCTATGCTAGAAAATACATTTCAATAACTTTTTAAAAAGGAAATCCCAACAAGTTAAAACTTGATAGTTACTTAAAATATTTTCTGCATATAACTCCTTAAAGGAGAGAAAATGTGTGGCTTGTGTGATGTACAAAACATTCACGTGATATATAAACCTTAAATTTTATCATGTTAAGCAGTAAATAGCTTATGAAAGGAATACTTCCTTATATGGACTATGAACTAGGGCCAGTTCTCAGAGAATATGCTTAAAAAGTGGGGTGACTGCTGAATCATGTAAACTGAGTTCAGGGTCGAGTTAATTTACATAACTGTAAATAAATGGTCTTTACAAAGGATATGTCATGATATTCTTTGTAACAAACTATAGTATGTGACATTGTTTTACATAACCATCTTGTGCTTTTCTCAAAGGTCTTGACCCAAACAAATCTGTTTACCTTAAAGATTTGCATTTTTACACTCCCATTCATTTTTTTATGTGTTAAGTTACTTTTAGGGTTCACTTCCAAAAGCGTAGAACTTGAGAAGGTAATTTCAACTTTTCCCCTTACAGGGTGCTGATTTACAAGTGTTTCTCAATTGCAAAAGCTACACAGAATATTTAAGTACTTTCTGCCAAGTAATGAGTCATTTTGTTTAATACAACAATTACCTCAACAGTGAACATATTTTTTTGTCAAGGCAAAATAATCTTCCACCTATATTCCTTCAAAAGGAAGGAAACTGTTAAAAAAAACCCAAACAAACAAGGCCATTTGGACCTGTTAACAATTCAGTATGCTAATGAAGCCACGGAAGTCAACAAGGGAGGATGACAAATTGTTTATAAGCAAAGCTGTATGACACATTTGACTCCCAACTAAAAGATTACCTTAAAAATCACCATTCATGAAGGAAAAAAACCTCTTCGATACAATTCACATTTCTTATTTTGGGCAAATAAATTAGATTCACCACTTATAATTCCTGCTGGGATTTGTATAAAATACCAGGAACACGATCACCTTGACTGTTATTCTCACAATGCTGGAGCTAAAATTGTGTGATTGAAATGTGAATGTGGTTTGCATTCCAGAAAAGTTATAGATAGGCAGAAATTTTCTAAGGTAGCGATGATTAAAAGTAATACAAGGAGAAGACTAATTTTTCATACGTGGAACTGAAATTTTGTTTGCGTATTTTAAGGATGTTACTAAACTGAACTGACTGTCAGGAAACAGCCAAAATGAGCATGTTTTTACCGAGGACAGACATCTTACTGATGTGCAGTGCTCAAGCCTTGATGCCTGATGATGCATTCAGAAGAGCCTGAGAGAGAGAAGGTAAAACCTACTTCCGGGATTCCTCTCGTTTTAATGATTAGTGTCTATGTGCCAAGCGGGCAGTCGTTTTTTGTAGCGCTTTCTGCAACAAGAAAACCCAGATGGGAAAACTGGGTGTAGCTCAGAATTTTACCATATCACCACTAGAACCCCTTAGAGCCAATATTATGTCGGATTCAAATGTATTTAACCATCTTTTAATTAAAGTTACATTTTGAACTGGCCATTAGGCTCTAAAAGTAGAAGTTATTACACGCATTAGTTAATGTGGCTTAGAATTTTTACTTCAAGGTAGAACCTCATCCGGGAGGTACTGTCTAACCAGAGGACAACAGTAACAAGTTTGGGACATATATTACCACTGCAATTTCCACTTCCTTCCTTTCCTTCTTTAAGGGGGAATTAAAAAAGCAAGCATTGTAAACATTATCATTAGTGTCACAGTAATTTATTTTTTTGCATACTGATTGTCAACAATGAACAGATTTGAAACTGTAAATAGGCAGGGGATTAAGCAGGAATTTTATAGAGCATAAGGGTTATACTAAGAAGGCAAGAAAAATGCCAACCAATTCACCAAGTAATTGGGCTGAGCCATACTGGCCTCCCTCCTGGCTGATAGGAACAGCTGCTCAAGGTTACATGCACAAGCATGGGCTCCTGGCTGCACTGGGAAATTGACCCCTTGCTGATGTCAAATATGGACCCAGCCTATGGTGCAATACCCATCGGTCACCTGTACTACAGAGGCTGGAAACAGTCATTTCGATTTGATTTGCAGCCATCCCAACATTCGCTGTTTACACCCCATATTTTCACGGCTCCTCACTCCATCTTCTCCCTGTATTCTTGGATGAGTTCTGTTTCTGGCTTGTACAGGAGAGGGCAAAAGGCCCCACCCAGAGCCTCAGAGAAAACCTCCAACAAAAGGCCAGCTCCAAGGCGGTCATGTCTAACATACATGCATTTTTATACACACTGATAACACAGTGTGTTTAACAAAAAATACTCCTGTTTTTAGTTTTGACTAGCTCCCCTCCCCACACCCCGCGATTTCAGCAGTCTCTGCTTTAATTCCTGGCTGATTACAGAAACAGCAGATATCATGTTTTCTCTATCTTCTAAAGAACAATTGTCAGGAGACTGGCAGAATTTTTAGCCACAATGATCTTTTTAAAGCCACGAGTGAAAAACATGGTTGCATTAATACATAAGGATATTTGAGACATACACTGTTCTCTTTAAAAATTTCTACCTGCAGGTCTTAGTAAGCCTTTTTACTTTCTCTTTCCAGGAGTCCAGTGCATTGTAAATAAACTCACCAATTATAAAGGGCTAGTGAGCTCGGGATTTATAATTTAATTTATTTGCCTCTATTTGGCTACACTTTTGCTACATATTT